ACCAAAGTCGAGGAATCCTCTCGATTTCGAAATCACCTATTGATGAATGATCGACCTTGAAACAAATAACTTCTCTCGCCAATTTTCGTCGCGAACACCCTGGATGACGTGGCGTCCTACACACGGCGACATAAGAAAAGTCCTTGGGCTTTGATTGTTCCTCTTCAACAAGCATAAGTGACGAAGCTTCTTCCAACCAACGCGCAAGCCCTCCTCGCGAGCTCTGACTGCAAGCGCCAAAAGATGCCTCAAGAAATTTGGGCATATCTGAATAACACACATACCCAATTCAGCGTGATTTCGAGAATCGGGGCAGGAATCGAAAAGAAAAGGTCACAAGATTCGAAGAACGTGAAATACGCTCCGCAAAACCCCTCACAAACGGTCTCAGGTGTCTCGACCGTAGTGGCCAATTCTAGCTGAACGCTCTGATCGACACCATGAACCGAATATAAAGCCTCAAGATCTTGAGCAGTAGTCGTCGGAAGAAGAAAAGTGAATGTTACATCCATCTTTACTTAAGGAAAGAAAGTCGCACAAGCAAGAAATTTCGAAGAGAAAGAAAGAAAATTCTGGAGACGAAGAGAAGAAGTTAGGAGAAAAATAAGAGACTTTTGTATTTATAAGGCAACTCGCCGACACCGAGAAACGGCTCTATCATTAAAGAGAATATAATGATTAGGTTTTGCATAAAAAATGGCACAAGTAGCCGTTAAAGACACACGCTAACGGCCCATCGACAGGGAGCATACACGTGTCGAGTTTCTGCGCTGCGGAAGCTAAACCGCCTCCCATCAATTGAATCCGAGCAAGCCATCTTAATCTTTTAAAAAGAATAAGATTGTGGGACAAATGTTGGACCCATTTCCGGTATCTATCTGAGCAGGCCCAAGCCCATCTAAAATAATCACAAACTCGACATCGAGCTGGACTCTACGATGTCGAGACGAGATCCCGGAGATCGTGGAAACTGTTAGAGGAGGAAAGGACTATAAAAAGAGAGCTAGAGTGACATTCAAGAGGGACGAGAAAAACCTTAGAGCTATTCACTAATCACATCGACCTCATTCTATGGATTTCTAGTTTTCCTTCTTGTACTTATTATTGTTATTTCCGATCTTGTTCATCACTTTGTAACAAATTCCATATTCAATAAAGTCATTTTTATCAACTGAAGTCCGATTGTATCGTTGCCCACATCCTTTGTCTTCCCCTGATTGAACTCTAGATCTCTATAAAATACTGAGTGTGGATTCTAGTATCTACAATCTTCCTGATCAGTGAGAGTAGATATCAGGATATTTTGTTGAATGTATTAGGTATGCGCTTATTGTTTGCTGTCGAGCCTTGATCCAAGCGAGAGCATAAGTTTCAAGGTCGCTCCACAAAAGGAACATATCTGCAAGAACATGGTGTTTTAGTTAAGAAATTTGAGTTCTAGGCTGTTCTTAAAGAGCTTGAATAATTGTTTGGTTTAGTATGATTAACACCCAATGAAGCACCCTAGACTAACATTCTTCATCATCTCAAAACCCCAATAAAAAAAAAAAAAGATTTGATTGGGATTTTCAAATCTGTTACTTGCTTGTTTTATTTTCTTACTTTAAAAACCATTCATTGTCTTTGCTTAATATTAATCCCATAGAAATAAAGTGTAAGATTTGGTCTATGTGGATTCGATCCTCAAATACTACATCGAACCTCTTATTTGAGAGAGTACCTTGAAGGTTAATTTGAGCATAACAGTTTTAAGATGTGAGACAAATTAAACCAAAATTAATGTGTTTAACGTAACATGATCCATACTTATAATATTAATTATTTAAAAAAAAAATCTTTGTCAAATTTTATTTTATTATAATATTAATTAAAATATTTATTATAATATTAATTAATTATATGGTGTTTAACCTCTCTCATACTTGATAAATGTTTATTTTTTATAAAATAAGTTACGAAAAACTATAATTGTAAATCACAATATATAATTCATATCATATACCAAATAATTTTAAAGTCAATTAAGTTATTATTTTATTTTATAAAATTTAAATATATTAACTATATTTGAATATTCTAATTGATATATTATATTAAAAAAAATATATATATATATATTTTTTAATTTAAATATTAATATTTTGTATGCTATAAATTGTGTGTATACATGTTATTATGTATAAGTGATTTTTAATTTATAATTCATAAAACCGTTAGTATATAGATTAAGTTATGTTGTATATATTATTTACCGTAATAATTGAATTATGAATAATAAATATCTATATATAAATATGATATAAATGTTATTTTTATTCTATAATTCATAATAAATTATTAATTGTTTGTAATAAATTATAAACATATTAACAATTTTTTCTTCGTTTAAAATATATATTAAAATAATAAATATATATATATCTAAATAAAAAGTTATGAAAGATATTATTAAAATGCAAAATTAGAAAAGATATTTAATAATATCTTTTTATATTTTATTTGGAAAATTTAAATAATATGTCATGATTGTGTGTATATTTTGTAATAACTAAGTTTGTTGTATGCAAAACAATAAAAACTAAATAAATGAAATGGTTCAATGTAGATTATTTGTAAGTAAATAAAAATTTATTTTGTTTTGATATAATTAATTATTCATCCAAATTTAAAAATAGATTTACTTAATTTCTTTTTCTAATAAAATAGTTGCTATCAGTTAATAAGTTAATACCATTAATCTATACTATTACTGATTTTTCACATTAAAGCTTCCAAGTCAAACATTAAAGCTCCCACGTTAATTTATGATATAACTAAAAAACAAGTTAATACTAAATATACAAGATTTGGATGTTATTTTAGATAATTGACTAAAATTAATAATTGATTTTTCGTGTTTGAACTCCCACATTACAAATTAATGGTTAATACATATATTAAACTTAACGAAATATATATATATATATATATATATATATATATATATATATATATATATAGAGAATTTAAAATTAAATATTAGTGAAAATATTATAAATATATTTTCTAAAATATTTATAATATGTGAGTGTTTTTAAAGACAATAATAAGCATATATTTTTATGATAAATTTTCATATACAAATTTAATGTTTGTTTTAAATTTTGAAAGCATAAATAATAATTTATCATGTTATTTTTAATTAATGAAACATAAAATAATAAATATCAGTAAGAAAATTATGTTTGAAAATTATGTTTGCATATGCGGATATTCTAATTGCATATGCGGACAATAGCATGCATGATATTAGCATATCAAACTCACCTATTCTAATACTTTTCTTTCTAACATTAATATGAAAATTTTAGTAGGTTTATCTCTAAACATTTTAAATGATCTGCAAACATACATGTAATATATAAAAATTGTTTCACAAACTTGATAACTAACTAAAAATTAAATTTAAAATTTATTTTTTTGTAAAATTTATTATTATTCATTTTATTAAAAAAAAATCTAGACACACAAATGTATTTATATATATTATATAAATTTTATACTATATTACATATAAAATTATTATATTTATGTTTAATAATATATAAATTTAAATATTTTTGTCTTCAGTTAAAATTATTTCTGGATCCGTAACTCATATATTTCTGATTTTTGTATGTGGATACTACAACAAGTATCTAGATATTAGTTTTGGAGTTTTCCACTGGTGGAGCCTATGTTCTTGTTTTCTTTGTTCTTCCAAATAAATTTTATGATACCATATAATTTCACATTTTCTTAAAGCATGTAAAATCAAATTTAAATAATAGTTGAAAAAGAGAAAAGAATTTATTAAGATATACTTTAATTCGGCCAAATACTCAATGGCGAAAGGAAATAAAAAAGTAAAAGAATGAAACTATTCAAAAAAAAAAAAGTTAAAGAGATTCGGCTGCGGTGAATAATTTTTATTATTGTTTTAAGTTTTTTTCAAATTAGAGGTTATTTAATTATTAATAAAAAGTAATTTATGTAACAAATCAGTTATCATATATCGTTATAGAATGTATATATCTATATGTTTTTTATCGGTTTTGTTCAGTTTATTAGATTTTACCGGTTATAAACCTAATCATATCCAAATCCTACGGTTTTTATAAATCACATCCATTCGATATGGTTCAGGATGGTTCGGTATTACATATTGAGCAGATCTAGTTTCTATTTATGAAAATTTAATAAGAGAGATATTTCTGTCCATCTTTTAGCTTTAACCCCAACTAGATCTCAACCCGCGCAACCGCTCGGGTATTTGTTTTCATTTGTTTTTATAGAAACATTTTTTTACTTCTAACTTGGTATATATTATATGAGGTGTGTATATCGAAAATGATGATTAATTATTGTTAGAAAATGATGATTTTGTTATTTTAAAAAATAAACTATGTAATTTTTAAAGTTAAAATCAAAAATATATAAATAATTAACTTATACTATTACAATATTAATTTATATAAGTTTAATTTAAACATGTATTTTATTATAATATCTCTAAATCCAATGGATCATCTAATTTTTATTATTCCAATAAAAATTTCTAGTAAACCCAATAAATGTTATTAGTGAATTTAATTAATGTTATTAATGATTGAATAATGTAATGTCATTAATTTTATTAGATGGTCCATTTTAAAATATCACACATGAGGTGAAGTCATGACTTCTATTTTAATATATAAGATAAATAAAACTGTTGGGTCCGCCAGGAGATTAAAAGGGATTTGATATTTCATATAGATCCTAAACTGATCACACTTTAATTAAGGGATTCGATACTTAACGAATCACTCTTAGACAGATTTCAGGAGCTATGTAGTATTTAAAACTCATTTCCTCGTTGACGTGGTCTTCCCATTTTTATTGGTAAATCCATTTTTTTTAGATTTGGTATCTATCCCTAGGCCTTCTTATATATTAATTAGAACCTCATCTGAGTATTGAAAACTCTACTAAAAAAAAAAATGGATTTACCAATAAAAATGGCTTTGACAACCAAAACAAAGGATGAAAGCACCGAATCCATTTGTCTTACGACGGCTATGTGGGAGACTTTGGAGAAGGAGAGCTTGATGGGTTATCGTGTATTTACACGTGGGATTTGGTATGCGTTGACGATCTTCTCGTGCTTTGGCTTGTTGATATATGGGAAACAAGTTTTGTTTTATCCCATCCGGTTCGGCGTTGCGACCTTCTTTGTAGCTATGCTACTCAGGTGTTTGTTGTTGGTCGAACGTCCGATCCCCAATTCCCCGGTTCTAAAATATATTAGATTCATGATCTCTTTGATAATATTAACGTTCATGTTCTATGTTCCTTTTAAATATCCTAACATGGATGTTTTCATTTCGATCCTTTCATTGCTTGCCGGAGGAATCTCAATCTATCAACTCTCTTGCACGATGGACATTGGACATGCTCTTCTACTCCTCTTTCTTGCCTTTGGCATTGGTTTTTTAGCCATCGACTTTGCTTCTCAAAACCATCACCCATTCTCTGGAGTTTACTTGATTTTTTTCTTTCAGTACGTTATATACGCTTATAATTTCAACTTTCTAGCTAATGTAACCTAGTTCTAGTACTTAGATTATGTTGTTTATGTACTTAATATTTATTTGAAGCATAATAAAGTTTCCTTTTATTATCCCTATTTCTAATTGTATTAGACCAAGTGTTCTTCGGCTTAATTTCAGAGCACAACCCAACATATAACCGGCTAAAGCTTCCAAGTTTCTCGACACATAGAAAAATCATTCCGCATAAAGCACAGATTTCACACCAACAAGTTCTTTTCTCAATTGATATATTCGAAATAACCAATGGTACAAAATCTCTATCAGCCACTAAACAATACATGTCATGCTTAAAGTATATAGATATTTCCACCAAATGGTTCACATAATTTCACCAAAGTTCTTAGAAAGGAATTGTTGATGAATGAAAGTATCAAACCTTTTGTATTAGAGGAACTTTGAATAAAATTGTTTTTTAAAACCTTTTGTTTGATCTTTTTCATAGTATTGAGGGTGAGGGAGAAGCTGAAGGCAGAATAGCTTGATGAAGATGATCTCACCTAAAAATATCTCTCTATCCTTTACTTATTAATTTCTGCTGGTGTGTATCATCACTAGTGTTAGTGTACTTCATGTATGATTTTATTGCGGCTGGTTAGAGCACCATCAATGCAAGATCTTAGGGAGACGCTTAGGGAGAAGGGGACCACAAAAAGGGGAAAAAGGAAGAAGCACCTCTGCCAGAAACGCTTCAATAAGCTGCGGAGCTTACTCTATTTCGTGGGCCCCATGCCACGTGGCGGTCCACGATTGGTAGACTGTTTAATTTTTTTTTTTTTTTTTTACGAAAAAGAAAATAAAAAAAAAAGAATAAAAAAGAAAAATAAGCACTCCCATGTGGGTTGTGCATTGATGGTGCTCTTATGAGCTTCTAAGGTTTCTTATGATGAGGCTTGGTCAAAATTTGTTTGTTTGATATCAAAAGACTACATTTGCTCTGTCTCTCATTACTTAGCCTGTGAGAACTTCTCAAATCTTTGTCAATTTGCTTCTATAGCAGTCCACACATGATCTTTTTATATTGAAGAAGTCTTGAAAAAAAAAACGAATACACACACCAAGAACTTGTGAAGGAAACCAAACTTAAGATATTGAGGACAAGACATAAACCAAATACGATCTAACATCAATTCTCATTGTCATCAACCATAACAAGTAAAGCAATGATAAAAGCATAATCCACCTCTGGATTTACTCTCACCCTAAAGTTACATTTCCCTTTACAGAAACTTCCCCATGCAAACTTATGCGTAACCTGCAAGCATCCCACAAACAACAACAAGATTTCAGTTCATCACCATGTCTTAAAAAAAAGTAGACAAAAGTCTATTAATGAAGAGATTGTGTCTTAAACTTTTTTTACCCCTACCCCAGCGATGAGAGCATCTGATTTGAAGACTTTAAATGAGATATTAGAGTATCCACCTGAAGCATGAAAATCACAAGTACTGCTCTTCTTGACATTGTTGTTCTCTGCCAAGAAAACATCCACAGATGTTTTCAACGAGACTGCTGAAGATTGATGTGCCGTGAACAGCAAGTCTTCTCTCTCTTTACTCTCTCCTCCATGCACTTCCCATTTGTTCTTCAACGCCATTCCCTGTACAAACATACACAAAATCTCAAGAAAGAGTCCTTTTGGATATTGTTGTGTCAATAGAGGTTTTTAAATATTGAATGTGTTTTTGTAACCTTTTGGCGCATTGTGAGGATTGTGAAACCAGCTGGATCAGTCATAACCCTTTTACGGTTAATCCCCCAAGCTTGTCCATCAATTTGTAAGAGGAGGTTTCCACTTGGATCAAACACTTGGTAATGTTCTTTTGAGAAACTTTGATTTTTCCTCGTCACCATTAGATCCATTGGGTATGGATTACAGAATTGATCGCTCACTACGCTTATTGTAGGATCTCCTACTTGCCATTCTGTTTTCTTATTCTTTGGCATTGATTATATTTTGAATAAACTCAAGAGGAAGAAGATTGCTGAAAGACTCTTGCTTAAGAGCCCTTGACGATCCTGTCCTTCTGATGGATAAAAAAAATATTTTTAAAAAGACAACTGTTTTCACATTTTTAGCAAATATATATCAACTAGAAAACGAATTTGCAACCTAACAGGATTTTTTTTCACTCTCTCTGGTTGTGAAATAAGAGTTTTATTCTCTACCCTAGATTATTAAACCCAAAAATAAACTATTTCTTTAAATTTAGAATCAAAACAACCAAGCAAGCTGCTATTATTGTCAATAACTTATCAATACAGAAAACATTTTTATAGCGTGATCTTACAGTTAAACAACATACCACAAATTGTACATACAATATACATTAGGCATAGAGTAAAATTCAGGGAAATAACATCGAAATATACCCAAATATGTAATAGAGAAAAAAAATGTCGGTGTCTTAGTCTTTGAATGATAAGCGATAAACTAGATTTTGAAAGACAAGAAGGGTGAATTGTGCTTGAAAAGCATTATCATCACTACATGAAATAAAACATATTTTTTCTTGTTAAGACAGTTATTTTGTTCATAATGAACTTAATCACAAACACGATAACTGTTCATTGTATACTTATTTTATCTTTTTGTATGAAAATGTTTGATAAACACGAATATATACTATTAAAGTTACATATCATAGTATATAAGAAATAAACATACCATAGTATATAAGAAAAATAGATACATTCAATTAAAAAGAAATGAGATACACATCCAATTGTAACATACTTCTTCGTCTTATTTTGAAACTGTTAGCGATTCCGAAGATCTAAATTGTTATCTCAGTTGATCAACATGTTTCCTGAAGATTGCATAGCAATGGTTAAGAACACACATGCTTAATTCATTATAGTATCTAAATTCGAACTGACTGAAAAGCTTTGAAACGTCTCAGTGTGAAGTCAAAAGGGAAAATTTCAAAAGCTAGTACCCTAGAAGATGTACTTATTATTGATGTACTTTTCAGTGTAACTAGAACAACAAAGCACTCCATCCAAGTGAATTATATAGTTTGGTCATAGCAAACTCAACAATTAGGCGGATCCTACATATCTCCAAGGCTCCAAGCATTAGAGTTAAGAGAAAACCTTCTAGAATGTTTTCACACCACTTTGTCATGACCCTTGAAAATTCACCCTAGCCTCCTAAGCCTACACCTTGGAGTCACACTATTATCTCTTATGATCCTTGCCAAAGAATATTGTTTATGCCAAACAGCTAAAAGACATAACTTTAGTCTATAAAAAACGAAAACTTAGAAGATAATTGTCACACCCGACTTCTCCAAAATAATATAAATATAATAGTCAAATAATAATAACATAAGTTTCATACCAAATACTGAAAAGTCAACATCCACGTCGGAAATCCGCAATACAACATAATATCCGAAATAGAAATAACATAAACCGAAAGTCTGAAAATGCGAAACGACATATGCAATAAAAGTCCAAAGGCTTATAAACCCAATAGCGATAAAATACGATAAAGTACGATAAGATAAGATAGAAGCCCAAAAGCCCAAATAGCACCGGTCCGATATAATCACTCCTGCTCATCGGTCTCACCTGCAAGGGGGGAAAAGAAAGGAGGGGTGAGCAACAGGAGAGTCACTCAGTGAGGTATGGGATGCTAAACCTCAAATCACTGACTCAGTACATAGCACTACGACTATGTAAACCTAATTCTAGCATGAGACAAACACGGTGATAAAACACCACACAGAACACACAATGCCAATCCAGTTCACTAGCCAACTACCAACTACCAACTATCACCCATGCGCTCATAGTACAAAGCTACTCCCTGCACCGCGCATTTCCTCATAAGGATATACACTACCCGCTGCGTCGCTAGTACAGTCTGTCTCTGTACCCCCGCACTACCACCCGCTGCGTCGCTAGTACAAACGTCTCTGTACCCCCGCACCAAACCCGCGGCGTCGCTGGTACCTCACCGTACCCCCGCCCAATACCCGCTGCGGCGCAAACTCAGACGTCTCTGGGCCCCCGCACAAAACCCACGGCGTCGATAGTCCAGACATCTCTGAACCCCCGCCCACATCACATAGTCCCTACTATGTAACTATATATATACATATATATAACAGTACTCAGCGTAAATCATTTCACACAACCGTTGAATCCTCTATTATCCTATTTCCATTTTATCAATCAAAAATAAAAATAAACAAGCAAGACTCGATTCACAGAGACGGATCATGTTTCGAAACTAGACTTATCATAATAGCAGTACTAAACTAGTTCGGGATTTAAACGGAATAGCCCTCACCTTAGCAATGAAGAGAAGTGGTATCTATGGTCTCCAGGTGCTCAAATAGACTCCAAATCTGAAACCAGGGCGAAAAATCGAGCCAGAACGGCTTTCGAACGGTTTAAAACGGGTTTCGGTGGATTAGACAAAAAGTCAACTCGCATGTCAAAGTCAACCCGGTCAACCCTTGACCAGAAATCAATTGACTTAACCAAATCGGTTTGACCTTAACCGATTTCGAATTGAATTGAACCAAATCCCAATTGATTTCAATCCGGTTTACTCTTAACCAAAATCAATTAATTTAATTAACCGGTTTAACCCTAACCGATTTCTAATTGATTTTAGCCGCCGGTTTAACCCTAACCAACAAACCGATTTTGACCAAGCACAAACCGGTTGACCGAGTCAACGGTTGACTCGCCGAGTCAACCCGGCCGAGTTGACCGAGTCACCGGCGAGTCACCGGCTCCGGTCACCGGTCCGGCGAGAAGGGGCGGCGGCTTACCGGCGGATCTTCGGCGGCGGCGCGGCGGCGAGGCGGCGGTGACTTCCCGGTGAAGGACTGACGGCGGCCGGCTACGGCGGCTCCAGCGACCGGCGGTCGGAGACGGAGGCGCGTGTGGCTCACGCGCGGCGGAGGCGGCGGCGCGTGGTCGGCGCGTGTAATTCACGCGCTCAGACGGCGTATCTTCGGACAGCGTGTGGAGGCTCGTCTAAGGTTGGATCGCGGCGTTTTCAGGGTCTACGGATTCGTCTCAACGAGTAGAACACGGTGGTAGCCTTGCATTAACGAGATTCTCAACGGTTAGGAAGTTATGGTCGATTTACTAAACGTATCAAAACTAACTCGAAGAAGGTGGTGGTTTCCGGGATTACCTAGGCTGGGGGTCGGTGGTGACGAGCTCAGTGTGTTCCTCGCGTGTGGTGGCTCCGGCGACGAGTTCTGGTGGCTCCACCTCTGCATGCAAACACCAACACTTCCCTTTCTTAAACTCTCTCTCTCTAACTTTCTCTAACTCTCTTTTTTTTTGTTTTGGTTGCAGGTGAAGAAAACAAAGCTGGAGAATTTGGTATTTAAAGAAAATACCTTGGGCTTCTGCAACTGGGCCTTCGCCTTGGGCCAAAATCGATGGGCCTGAAGATGGGTCATGACAATTCTCCCCCACTAACATGGAATTCGTCCCCGAATTCGAGCCATGAGTCGACTGACCAATAACATCTCGAAACAGCTCTGGAAAATCAATCCTCATTTGCGGCTCAGACTCCCAGGTCTCTTCCTGGATCCCGTCTCTCTCCCAACGAACCTTAACCATCATGGTCATCATCCCCTGATCCGCTCTCACTTGTCGATCCACAATCTCTACTGGATGACAAACTGCGGATAAGTCTCTACGAAGATCACTGGGCGGCTGCTGCAAAATGAGCTTTGGCTCTCTCACGACTTTCCTCAAAACTGACACATGGAACACATCGTGGAAGTCCGATAACTCTGCTGATAGACGCAATCTGTAAGCTACTGCTCCAATCCGCTCCAAAATAGGAAAATGTCCCATATATCTCGGTTTAAGCTTCTTCAACTTCCGAGTTGTAGATCCTCCCTGAAACGTCCTCATTTTAAGGTATACCAGGTCGCCAACCTGAAACTCCAAGTCCTTACGTCGCTTATCTGCATAACTCTTTTGACGATCATGGGCCTCCATAAGCCGTCTCTTGAGCATCTCAACTTGCTCTACCGTCTCTTGAACCATTTCTGGTTCTATCTCACGTCGCTCTCCCACTTCTGTCCAACAAAGTGGTGTGCGACAAGGCCTACCATAAAGAGCCTCATATGGTGCCATCTTAATGCTCGAATGGTAGCTATTGTTGTAAGCAAACTCTGCCAGGGGTAGGTACCTCAACCAACTTCCTTCCCAATCTAAAACGCAAGCTCTCAACATATCCTCCAAGGTCTGGATGGTCCTCTCTAACTGACCATCTGTCTGCGGATGATACGCGGTACTCATGTGGACCTTGGTCCCAAGCGCCTTTTGAAAGGCTCTCCAAAACACAGACGTGAACTTAACATCCCGACCCGATACAATGCTGACAAGTACTCCGTGCAGTCTAACAATCTCACTGATATACATCTCTGCCAACTGCTCAGCTTTGTCCGTCTTCTTAACTGCGAGGAAATGAGCTGACTTGGTGAGCCGATCCACGATTACCCATATGGCATTCTTTCCTGCTGTGGTGATCGGCAACCCCGTCACAAAATCCATAGTCACCATGTCCCATTTCCACTCTGGTAATGGCAGGTTTTGCAATAACCCGCTAGGTACCTGATGCTCTGCCTTAATCATCTGACAAGTCTGACAATGCGATACAAAAGTAGCAACATCCCTCTTCATACCCGGCCAATGGTAATAACGCTTCAGATCTCTATACATCTTGGTGTTTCCTGGATGAATGGAGAAACTCGAGTGATGTGCTTGCTTCAAGATTTCCTTCCTCAACTGCTCACCATCTGGTACACAAACTCGGTTTCGGAACATAAACATCCCACTCAAAGCTATGTGATACCCAATACTCTCGATCTCAATCTGCTTACACAAGGCCTCATCAACATCCTGAGCTCTGCGTATCCTCCAAAGTAAATCTGCTCGCTCAACTGCCTCGAGACCAG